CACACACACACACACACACACACACACACACACACACACACACACACACACAGGTGGGCTCTACAGATTAGGTGACCTCCGGAGGTATCAGAGTAAAGAGAGAGAATATAAATGCACAATTTTCAGATGTTTGTTTATTATTTTTCTTCAAAATTATGTGTTACTTTGTGTTGGTCGTTGGTGAGATCAGGATTTTCGTCTTTGGCTCACCTTCGATTTCTCCGAGTTCGTTTGTCTGAGAACAGCTAAACTGAGAAAACTGCACTGGAAGTTAAAAGTAGTTTTAAGTGAATCTATTACACACCAGATATTGAGACAAGATAAGCACAGTATTTTCTAAGAGCTCTCAGAGAAACGGCAGGACAATCCTAAGCCAACATCACCTGGAGACAGCTGTAGCTCCAGCCTGTCTCAATCTGTTTCTGTAGTCAAAAGCTATTATACCCATTTAGACAACATCCAGAGCTCTGCTCTGTTACTTTTAAGAACAAGCAGTTGAGTTCTCCATCACCTCAATGGTTCTTATCTAACTGGGATGGCATGTTTTATGATTCCTCCCGACTTCTGTCTAAACCACTAACTGCAAAAGACTAACAAATAGTTTATGAGAATCTGTGACAGAGCTTTGAGTTTTAAACAGACACCTTATGTCTTCTTACTGTTGGCAAGATATCTCATTAATGGCAGGATCACAATGAAACTCTCAGGAAGTCATTAGTGAACTAGCATCTTGAACTGATTAACTTTTGGGGCCAATCCCAAAGATGGCCACAAAATGAGGGACTACAAATAGAAACTACAAAGATGGCTGCCATTCTGCCAGTCAGAGACCCAGGAAGTTACTTAAATCTACATGGTTCACATAAATTCTCAGTAAAATACTTTTGAAGTTTATGGTTTTAATGTGACACGATATAGAAAAGTTCAAGAGGTATGAACACTTGTTTAAGACTGTTTGATTTTCTTTATTCTGCTTACCTGTAACTGTATTGTTACTCTCGCTCATCTCTGTGGCTTTCTTCTGAGCTCTCTTTTCGTTCTCCACCTGCTCCCAGTCCAGGTCTTTCCTCTCCTCTTTGGAGTGACGCAGACTGAACACCAGACGATGGAGCTGAAGGCAGAAACCATTTAGAGACGTGAAAGCGCTACAGTTTACACGCTCTGTCCCTGATTTAAATCACTTTCTGATCTGGAGTCTTGAATGTAAAAAAGTGAGTCTCAGTAAAACACTTACATATTGATCGTCTATGGGCTCAGTGCAGCAGCTGACCAGCAACACCAGAACTGACGTGCAGAAGAACAGAATGATGGCGAAGTGCAAATAATGGATCCCACACACCAGGAAAGGGCAGTGAGAGGGGAAAATGCAGCTGCCGGTCCCAAACCAAAACTCAGGCAACATCCGACACAAACCCATCACCAGACCACCTATCAGGCCCCAGAAAGCCCCCTGGAGGAGAGTGGATGAAAACTAGTCACATGGCTTTTTCTGCAACAAATCTGAGTGAACTCTGAATGATTTTACAGAGGTTTAATACAGAAGCTAAAGCTAAGTTGTCCCAATTTTGCTGTCGTCATAAACTCTTGTTAGAAGATTTGCCAGATCAAATTGATCAGTAATATTTATATTCACTATATATAGTGAAAACCTAGCCAAAAGCTAAAAAGCTAAAGCTAATTAATAGTTGGCAGTAAAATGCTAGCTAAAACTGACAAAAGGCTAGTCAAATGCTAAAATTAGCTAGTTGCTGGCTAAAAGTACACCAAAAGTCTTGCTTCAAGCTTCAAAAGGCTAGCTAGAAACAAAAGGTAAAATAAAGGCTGTCTAAAAGTAGCAAAAGGCTAAACATAATTGTTTTCTTTTAAGAATCCCATCACATTAATTCAGTCAAATTTTGAAATGTAATTTTTTTTCCTTGGTGTTTGTTGGTACATTTAAATAAATGGGGGAAAACATTTACACAATAAACTTTAGTGTCTGTTATGTGAAATGTTAAACATTAAAACAGGAGGAAACTTTCTCACCGTTTCATTGACCCTCTTGACAAACACAGCCAGCAGAAAGACAGAGGCAATAGGGGGAGACAGATAGCAGGAGACTGATTGGATGTAATCAAACAGCTGACCGCTCTGAGCGGCCTGAACCACTGGGATCCAGCAGATACTGATGGCTACAATGCACAGAACCCAGACTCTGAGGAGCAGAACCAGAAGAACAGTTACAGAACAATTGAAGAGAAGCAAAGTCTTGACTTTCATCTCAGTTTCTATCAGTTTTAACAGCATTTCAAGGTTCATATGAACAGATGAGTGTTTAAAATGTGTGCAAGGAGCAGGATTATTTCAGACAGTTGATGCCGATATCCGTCACCTATTTACCTGCCTACAACGATGAGCTCACGCTCAGTAGCCTGTGGTCTGAAGCGGGTCCAGATGTCCATGGTAAACAAAGTGCTGCTACTGTTAAAGATAGAGGCCAAAGAGGACATGAGCGCAGCCAACATCACAGCCAGCATCAGGCCTCGCAGACCTGGACACAGGAGGAGAAAAGGGACCAGACATGTGAGGTGAAGTGTACTTTTTAAAAACTGAACCAAAAGTTTTGTATCTTACCGTCAGGCATGACTGTAACCACCAGTTTAGGATAAGCAATATTAGAACAGCCCACTTCAGTTCCACAAATCCTCTGGCATTCCTCAGGAACCACACAACCAACCTCATCTGCAGGTGGATGGAAACAAACGTAGAATGCTGCCTTCAGACATTTCTGTCGTACACCAGATTGGTTCAGCTCTACCCATGTTTGGATAGGACCCACCTGGATAGAGGACTCTACTGATCATTCCAGGGAAAACCATGAGGAACATCGGGAGCAGTTTGAGGTAGCCACACACAATGCAGCCGGCCTTCACATCGGTGAGACTACGAGCTGCAAGACACCGCTGTACAATCACCTACAGACATACACAGGTCCAGACACAAACAATGATATAATTAATGACTATAACAAATCTGAATTTAGTTTCTGAATAAGCACAAGGTTTCTTTTAAACAAAACCTTTTAGGTACAAGATAACACACATAAAACATTTTAGGAACAAGGCAACAAGTCTATAACCATTTTAGGAACAAGGTAGCACATCCAAAACCTTTTAGGAACAAGGTAACATGTCTATTGCTCAATAGGAACAAGGGAACAAGTCTACAACCCTTTTGGAACAAGGTAACAAGTCTATAACCATTTTAGAACAAGGTAACATGTCTAAAACCTTTTAGGAACAAGATAACAAGTCTATAACCATTTTCGAACACGGTAACAAGTCTATAGCCCAATAGGAACAAAGTAACATGTCTATAACCACTTTTGGAACCAGGGAACAATACTATAGCCTTTTTTGAACAAGCTATAAAATCTGTTGCCTTTTTGGAACATGGTAACAAGTCTATAGTCTATAGGAACAAGGTAACAAGTCTATAGCTCAATAGGAACAAGGTAACAAGTCTATAGCTCAATAGGAACAAGGTAACAAGTCTATGGCTCAATAGTAAGTGAGTGAGTGAGTGAGTGAGTGAGTGAGTGAGTGAGTGAGTGAGTGAGTGAGTGAGTGAGTGAGTGAGTGAGTGAGTGAGTGAGTGAGTGAGTGAGNGTGAGTGAGTGAGTGAGTGAGTGAGTGAGTGAGTGAGTGAGTGAGTGAGTGAGTGAGTGAGTGAGTGAGTGAGTGAGTGAGTGAGGTTTTATTTATAAAGCGCCTTTCACAGAAATTTATTCACAAGGTGCTGTACAATCATTAACAGTATAAAAATGGTGGAAAGAATAAAATGAAACCGAAAACATAATTAAACATACGCAACAAGAATTGAAACATCAAATCAAGAATTAATTTCTAAAATTGTTACTCAAACACAATAGGAACAAGGTAACAAGTCTATAACACTTTTGGAACAAGATAACACATATAAAACCTTTTAGAACCAAAATAACATATCTAAAACCTTTTAGGAACAAAGTAAGAAGTCTATAGCTCAATAGGAACAAGGTAACACATCCATAACCCTTTGGAACAAGGTAACAAGTCTATAGCTCAACAGGAACAAAGTAACATGTCTATAACCACTTTTGGAACGAGGGAACACATCTAAAGCCTTTTAGGAACAAGGTAACAAGTCTATAGCCTTTTTTGAACAAGGTATAAGTTCTATAACCATTTTGGAACATTGTAACAAATCTATAGCCTATTAGGAACAAGTTAACAAGTCTATTACTTGTTGTTTATTACTTTTTTTGCATTTTATATGGTATTTTAATTGTATGGCATCCTTCAGTGCCATGAAAGATGCCTTCTTATTAGGGATACACAATACAGTATATCAGCATTTATATCGGTATCGGCCAATATTGGTCATTTTTTAGAATATCGGTATCGGTCCGACATGTAAAACTGGGCCAATATTAACGTCCGATATTATTTCCCACTTTTTAGCTTTGTGTGGGAGGAGAGATGGTTGGTTGAGCGGCATCTGTTCGATCATGATAGTGATATTGATGCTGCGCAGTCAGGAATAACTGAAGTAGAGCCATGTCAGAGGTTTGGTTGTTTATTTACAGTATCAAAAAAGGACCCAAAGTGTGTTTGTGTGTATATGTATAATATAATTTGTGTGTTTGTGTAATGTCAGTAAATATCATCATTGGCCATGACAGCAATAATTATATCGGATATCGATATCGGCTGAAATTTTCATATCCCTACATCTTATAAAATGTAATTAATTTTAGTATTGTTACTTAGGTCAGATTCAGTACTTTGTGGTTTAAAAAAATTTGTGTTATTCTCCGCACATTCTCACAGCAGGTAAAAATTGTTTGTACATTTACGCACACTTTCACATAACGTTCATTTTGATACATCCCAATGTGTGCATAAAACCTGTTGCAGTGCACTCAACTTTTTCATGCATGTATGTTGTATTTTTGTATTGCTGTCCAACATTTAACATTTTGCAAACAAAGTGACACATAATGTTCACCTGGTCCGAGCACCAGTACCAGATTCCCCCTATTGTCATCCCAAACACCACCCCAGGCCAGGGAAGGTCCCCTGTGGTCGGGTTCCTCAGCAAGTGGAAGGCATCATGCCTGGGGGTGTAGCACGAAGTGGAGATGTTATAATACTGGGGGTCCAAGGAGGAGGTGTTTTTTGGCATAGAGGATAAATATTTGGTCATCAGAACGCCAAAGCCTCCAACTTTAGAAAAGGCTAGATGAGAAGAGAGCAAAACAGTTTTTTATGTGATGGGTCTGTGTAGACAAATCACAGCTGAAAAATGCAGATTTAGATTTAGTTTTTGTTGTTTCAGCTGATTATACAGTTTCGTGCTCCTGCAGTATCAGCAAACTGGCAGATTAATGATTAAAAATGTAGGTTAAACTCTTTCCTGCTGCTGATGTTTACATGATCTCTGCCCTGCATAAACTGCAGAAACCAAAGTTTGAACTAAGTGTTGAACAAAATGCGATAAGAAGGTTTGTACTTACAGACGCCAGAAAGGACAAAAGCCCCAGCAATGATGACAAAAGTCTGAAATGTGTCAGTATACATCAGAGCTGCAAGGCCACCTGGTGACACACGCTCACAAAGCAAACAGAGCAAATCATGAAAAATGAATGAGTGAAACAACAAAAAAAAAAAAAAAATCAGTAAGGTTAGTTGCATTGAAGATTGAATGAACTAATGCAGAAATAATGTGAACCCAAAGTCCTATAAATGCACCAATAAAACAAAAAAGATGGAATTTACAGTAAAATTGCTGTGATTATGAGAAGTTCACTGAAAAGAACTGATTACAATGAATTACTTGAATTTATTAAGCACCTTTTGAACAGCAGAGTGTAACTCCAAAAGCTTTACTGCACTTAACAATAAACACTATTTTATTTTGAAGAAATGCATAGCATGGCATGAATAAGATATAATCAGATGTTCAGGAGTCAGAATACAAACTGTTGTTTAAGCTGTTATAATACAGTATATCTCATCTTCTTTCACTAAACGTTTACAGATTGTATTTTGAAACAATGCAGTTAAAGAATATCCGGGCTCTGCTCACATACCTGTAACGGTGTACAGAGCTGTAATTAGGAGAAGAGCGATGACGGACACATAGATGTTCCAGCCTAACGCCTGCTGGATAAACACAGCTCCTGAAAACATGTCCACCTGAACACAGAAATGAAAAATAATGAAAGAACTTTTGTTTTGTTAAAATGCAGACAGAACGCTTAGCACTGATTGACCCCTGAGTTTGTTCAAGATGCTGAAACTCAGTGGGTAAAGGTAGAACTAAAACTGAAATTAGCAAAACAACAAATAAAAGCTAAATATGTCAAAACAAAAGTTAGATGCTAAAATGAGTAAACAATAGCCATAAGCTACAATGTTCTGAACAGAAGCTAAAGACTAAAATAACTATATACAAAAGCTAAGAGTTAAAACCGTTTAAGCAACAGCTAAAAACTAAACCTCTTCTTGGGCTGCCACCTTATCGTGGTGGAGAGGTTTGAATGACCCAATGATCCTAGGAGCTATGCTGTCGGGGGCTTCATGTCCCCAGTAGGGTCACCCAAGGTCCCCTAATGATGAGTGCCAACATTGAATTAAGTGCTCCCTCGCACGGACGCGGGTCACCGAGGCCCCACTCTGGAGCCAGGCCTGGAGGTGGGGCACGTCGGTGATCACCTGTGGCTGGGCTTTCACCCATGGAGCCCGGTCAGGCACAGCCTGAAGAGGAGACATGGGTCCCCCTTCCCATGGGCTCACCACCTTGGGGGGAGCTGTAAGGGTCGGGTGCAGTGTGTGTTGGGCAGTGGTTGAAGGCGAGGACCTTGGTGGTCCGATCCTCGGCTACAGAAGCTGGCTCTGGGGACGTGGAATGTCACCTCTCTGGTGGGGAAGGAGTCTGAGCTGGTGTGTGAGGTTGAGAGGTTCCGACTAGATATAGTTGGACTCACCTCGACGTACCGCTCTGGCTCTGGAACCAGTCTCCTCGAGAGGGGTTGGACACTCTTCCACTCTGGAGTTGCCCATGCTGAGAGGCGCTGAGATGGAGTGGGCATACTTATTGCCCCCCATCTTGGTGCCTGTACATTGGGTTTCACCCCGGTGAACGAGAGGGTAGCCTCCCTCCACCTACGAGTTGGGGGACGGGTCCTGACTGTTGTTTGTGCCTATGCACCTAACAGCAGCTCAGATTACCCACCCTTTTTGGAGTCCTTTGAGCGGGTGCTGAAGAGCACTCCTAACGGGGACTCTCTCGTTCTGCTGGGGGACTTCAATGCTCACGTGAGTAATGACAGTGAGACCTGGAGAGGCGTGGTTGGGCGGAACCCCGCCCCCCATCTTAACCAGAGCAGTGTTTTGTTATTGGACTTCTGTGCTCATCATGGATTGGCCGTAACGAACACCGTGTGTGTGTGTGTATGTGTGTGTGTGTGTGTGTGGGGGGGGGAGGGTCGGTTCACCACCAACACTGCTTATGGTGGGGATGGTGCGCTGCTGACCTCAACTCAGGACGTTGTGGTCACTGGGCAGAATACTTCAAAGACCTCACTTCCACCGACACTTCTTCCCATGAGGAAGCGGGCCTGAGGACCCTGGGCCGGACTCTCCAATCTCTGGGGCAGAGGTCACCGAGGTGGTTAAAAAGCTCCTTGGTGGCAAGGTACCGGGGGTGGATGAGATTCGCCCGAAGTTCCATAATGCTCTGAATGTTCAATTCAATTCAATTCAAAAATACTTTATTGATCCCAGAGGGAAATTAGGTGTTGTTGTAACTCATTTAACTAAAAACTTATTGTAGATGCTGATGGCTGTGGGCAGGAAAGATCTTCTGTAGCGGATAATGTGACTCTACATTATCGCGTTGACATCATGGGCAGTTCCCCTGGATTGGCAGACCGGGGTGGTGGTCCCCCTATTTAAAAACAGGGACCACAGAGTGTGTTCCAACTATAGGGGAATCACACTTCTGAGCCTCCCTGGTAAGGTCTATTCAGGGGTTATGGAGAGGAGGGTCCGCCTTGGAGTTCCCCCGGAGGAGCTGGAAGAAGTGGCTGGGGAGAGGGAGGTCTGGGCCTCCCTTATAGAAAGGGTGAGAAGCTCAGTCATCCGGGAGGGACTCAGAGTAGAGCCGCTGCTCCTCCACGTTGAGAGGAGCCAGTTGAGGTGGTTCGGGCATCTGGTTAGGATGCCTCCTGGATACCTCCCTGGTGAGGTGTTCTGAGTACGTCCCACTGCAGGAGACCCAGAGGAAGACCCAGTACTCGCTGGAGAAACTATATTTCTTGGCTGGCCTGGGAACACCTTGGGATCCCCCCAGATGAGCTGGACCAAGTGGCTGGGGAGAGGGAAGTCTGGGTCTCTCTGCTTAGGCTGCTGCCCCCGCGACCCGACCCAAGATAAGCGGAAGAAAACGGACGGATGGACTAAAAACTAAAATTAGCAAAACAGTAGTTTTAACCTAAGCTAATATTAACACAGTACAAGCTAAAAAAAATAATATTAGCTTGACAAAACTAAATGCAAATGTTAGCAGAAGAATAGCTAAAAGAAAAAATTGGGACAAATATACTGAAATGGATTTCAAACAGCACAAATTTAGCTTTAAAAACAAAGTCATTTCAGTAAAGTCTTGAACAAACTGGAGGTGTTGATGGAGCAAAAGTAGCTGAAAAATCACTGAAATATATTTTTCCCTGAATACAGTCTATATATACTGTATATATA